TCGCCGATGTGGTGGGATGTGGAGCCCGATTCCCTCCACGCTGACGGCACCGATACATCGCCAGCGTCGGCGACGCACCGCCGAGCTTGGGGCCCGACTCGCCCTGGACTTGAGCGTGCCCCGCCCACGACGCGAGCGCACGGTCGAAGCTCGGACAGCGGCGGAGATGCGCGGCAACGCAACTGGGCCCATAACGGGCAAAGATGTCAGTGCCACGACTCGGCGGCCAGCTGGGGGGCGAAGTGAGAGGGGGCGTGCCTCCTCAGAAGGCTCGGAAGCCCTCGGGCCGACTGAGATGTCTTCGAAGCCTTCCCCGAAGAGACAGGAAGAAACCTCTCAGAAGGCGCGAGGGCTTCTGAGAAGCCCCGCCGCCTTCTGTGAAGTTCTGCTCCTTCTCACGTCTTCCCCAAGCGCGCCGCCGAATAACGGGCAAAGATGTCAGTGCCATCACGGGTACATGAGCACATGAGACGTCCCCCATTCAACCCGAGACGCCCCAACGGCAATCTAAGAGCATTTGTTCTTGAAAAAACCGTCTTCTGCCCTGGGGCGTTCTCGCTCGGATATCCACCGCTCCCCTGCCCCGCACCCTGGAGCTGAAGCGCGGGGGACGGAGGCGGCAGAAGGCCAGCTTGAGGCCACGACGGCTCCAAGACGGCTCCATCCACACGGATACGGCCTGCGTACACCACGGCACAGTGTGGCCTACGGTGAGCTCAGACGGCGTCCAGCATGCCTGCAAAAGGAAAGTTTTGAAATGCCCCAGATATTTCAACGGCGGGGGGCTGCTCGTCCTTTCGCTTCCGATGGGCCTGAGAAGCCTCAAGGTGGCCAAAGAGTGCCCAGGAGGGCCCCACAAGAGGCCCCGAGGGTGCTCGAATACGGCCCAAAAGGCTTCCAAGAGCGCCCCAAAGCTTCCAATAGGGCCCCAAGAGGCGTTTTTCAGTCTTCCACAGGGCGGCGATGATTTGGGATCGCCTTCTCTGATCGCTTACTTCCTGGATCGGCCCATGAGGGCTCCGAAGACCCAAACATGGGCGGCAAGAGACCCCATGAGAGCCCATGAGAGTCCCAAAATGGCCCCAATTGGCGAAGGTCTTTACGGATGATTCATGCTTACAAAACTCAATAAACATGCCGGAAAACATGCGAACGGAGAACGAACGAACGAAACCACCATTGACGGGAGAAGCGTCCAGCTCTAGCTCAGACCAGGTGGAAGAGGCCGTGGCCTCTAGATTCTGGCGCGTCTGGACACATGCTATGCGAGACCGAAAAAAGTAAGGAGGAGGAGAAGGAGGAGGGGAAGGATGAGGAGGAGGAGGAAGGAGCAGGAGGAGGAGGAGGGGCAAGTGTGAGCAGGTGACAGCGCGGCTGCCCTCCTTCCTCGTGTCACTCCATGTTCCTCCGCTTCCCTGACGAAGGCAACTCGCCCAGGAATCGCCGCTGGATGAGCTGGTGGATGCGAAACACCGGACACTGCGCTTGTTCGTCCTGCGGGGACGGCCCTACTGGACCAGAAACCAAACGACACCACCCCACCTACGACCAAGCGATGTTGAAAGTCTAGACACCTGCCCACCTACGACCACCTAGGACACCACCGCACCTGGGACCCACCTGCAACCCAGCGGGTCGTGGGCGGAGTGGTGTCGATTGCCTCTTGGTCGACACTGCTGGACACTGCGCATGGTCGTCCAGCGGGACGGCCCTGCGAGGGGCTGGGCGGCGGCGCCGAGGCGCCGGCCCGATACAAAAACAAGTCACATGCTTGGGAATTGAGTCCGAACACTTTTTTGATCCGCGCGTTCGAGAGCGCACCTCTTCCGGTCGAAGCAATTGAGTCCGAACACGCGCGGCGACAGCGGATCTTCTCAGCGCATTGTGCTCTGCCGCAAAATCGAATCGTTTCAATTCCACGCGCATGGCATCCGCTGCAAGCCGGCATTGGCGCTCATGGCGTCAGGAGAGAAGTCGCCCGAGCCTGAAAATGTGCTGGACACAATTGGGTGTGTTTCCATTCGTATTCCGCCAGCCTTCCCATCAGATTGCCATCCATAGGTCGCCTGCTTAGCATCGTGGTCGGAAGTGGGTAGCCCCAGGTCGACACGGCCATGCGATCCAGAACGCAGTAGGTGCGGGCGCCAATATTGCGGTAAAGCGATCCTCTGCCAGGTTTCGCCATCAAGGGTCGTCCAAATAGCAGCGTTTTCACGACCGCAATGCGTAGTTGCAATCGTAGATGGAAGATATGAATCGAACGTTTCGAGGAACTTAGCTTCCGCGAGCTTTCTGCTGGCAAAAATGCTCACCAGCGGGATCTAGCGTGCGAATGGCCGTAGACTTGACATCGCCGACGGTCGCGCAGGCGTCGCCTCACATAATCAAATCTGTCACTACAAACGCACACACACACACACATTGTGCATGCAGATTGCTCCACCATTCGTGACTAACTCCGAGGGGCCTTCTTGCTGTGGACCTTGGCCGATGATCGCAGCCCAGTGGGCAACTCGGCTCATGATGATTGACAAAAATAGCGCGGCGCTGGATTCGCCCGCCATGGTAACACGTCGCGGCTTGACCGTGACATTGGGTGCACCGCCAGCAAGTCTGGGATGGGTCCAGAGTGCACAACCCACGCACTCCCCCTGCTTTCCTGTTTGCGAGGGCGCGGTGGACTGCTTAGGGCGACGCACGCGATGCCAGGTCACGCCAGGGCGGCTGTTCAACGGAGCCGATAAGCAAGCAGCAGGCATGCGCCCTTGCGCGACGAAGCCAGCTTGTTGCGAGAGCCTCGCTTGCAAATGGGTGGGAACGCGCATGCGCCCTTTGCATCACAAGGCTGGTTGCGCGGGCCCTGTCGCGCGGAGCACGGCGAAGAAACTGGCAGGCTCAATGGCGAGAGCCAGAGCGTCAGGCCTGGCGCTGGCGCGCGGATGCTTGGGCAGGCAAGGGGCGGCTAGAGACGGGCACAGGGCAACGCGCCAGAGACTTCGGCAGACCTTGCTCTGGGGTCTGTAACCCACAGGGCGTCGCTCGTTACATGAGGGCGCTGGGCGGCATGGCGGGGGGTAGGTGCGAGAAGCCATGTCCAATGAATACTCTGCTGGTCTCGCTGTCGGTCGTCAAATGGTGCTGCGTCTGGCACGAGCATCAGGCCAGCCAATCCCAGGCTGGCGAGTGCACCGACCATCCCAACTCGTTGGTGTCCTGTGGAACGGACGGCGCTGATAGCAGAAACAACTTCGGCAGCGGTCAGTGGAAGTCGCCGCACCACGCGATTGAGAGCTGGTTGCGGCGCGAACACAAACCACACTGGGCGCCTGTATGATTTTCGCAAACATGCATGTTCGGTCTTCGAAGCGAGCTAGACTGCCCAAGTGGCCCCCACCAGGGCCCCCGAGGTCCCCAAGAGAAGCTCAAGAGAACCCCCAAAGAGGCCTCAGCGTAGCAACTCGAAGAGCCATTTGGAACCCTCAGCCGCAGGAAGGACCCCGAGAAAGCGAGCAGGCCTCCAGAGGGCCCCCGATAGGCGCCCAAAGGGCTCCAAGAGGCCCCCGTAGGTCCCCCAAGAAGCACCAAAGAGGCCTCCGAGAGGCCCCGGGCCCAAGAGGCATCCAGGAGGCCTCTGATTCACGACCCAGGCGCGGTGGCGGGTTCGGCCATCTGCCGCTTGATCTATACTATCGCCTGGTGCGCGCGCGGTCCCTGGGCCTGCTGGTGCCTGGCCAGCCTCCACGCGCCGCCGCGGCATTATCGGTGGATAGATGTGTAATTGATGGTGTTAGAAATGGGCTCGGCCAGGGAGGACATGGGAATGACCTCTGCGGTAGCGCTCGTCGCGCCGTGTATACAGAATGGAGTTTTCCGAACTGCGACCGCTCCCTGATCGCGGGCGCAGCGCGTATTGATGACAAATGCGGCTGCGGCACGAAGGCTCTTCCTCGGGCCTTCGATGGATCGCGACAGGCGCCAGGGGCGGGTCGATGGGAGCACCGCTTGGGGCGCAACAAAACATTGGTTCGGCCGCGTCGCTATCGCTGCGGCCGTCAACTCGTCTGCTCCTCTCGTCCACGGGAGAAGCCTTCGGCTCCAGAAGCGTCGTCGCCGTCGCCGTCGCCGTCGCCGTCGCCGTCGCCGTCGCCCTCGCCGTCGCCGTCGCCGTCGCCGTCGCCGTCGCCGTCGTCGCCGTCGCCGTCGCCGTCGCCGCCGTCTTCGTCGTCGTCGTCGTCGTCGTCGTCGTCGACGTCGTCGTCGTCGCCGTCTTCCTTCAGGGTCGGCGGCACCGGCCGTAAGACCTTCGCAATTTGGTTCGTCCGCGTGGCGATCGCCGCGGCCGTCAGCTCGCCTGCTCTCGTCCACTGGCGCGGGTGCAGGCACACCGCTGCTGGCGTCGCGGCGGGGGCTGCGGGAGGAGCCGCTACAGGGGCACGGGGAGCTTCAGCGCGGGAGCGGCCCGGCACATCGGTTTGAGTGGACCTCGGAAGTCCTTCCCTCGGACGTAGAAGGACATACAATAACTGTGTGCCCTCCTTGGAAGAGTGCGTCCAGCCAGATTAGATATAGCACAATAATGTTATGATAGATCGCCACCCCAGCTGTATGGCCAGAAAGCGCCCGCCACCTAGCATGTACCATAAAATGTCTGAACACGCGCGCCGATGTTTGGGTGGCGCCGAATTCAGGCTGGCATACCACTTTCAAATATGAGCTGCCGCCAGTGTGAACGCGGCCTGGTCGACTCGCTCGCCGCGCTGCGTGAGATGGGACGCAGAGGGACATACAAATACTATGTGCTGATGCTGGAGGCGCACGTCCGACACGAGCATATGGTACACAAACATACAATATCTCGCTTCCCGAGAGGTACGGCCAGCAAGCGCCCGCCACGGAGCTTATTCTATAAGACTTCTGAGCGTGAGCGTCGCTCGTGCGTGGCCGACGCACATATAGTATAGTTAAGTACTAGAACCACGCGCGCGCTTCGCGCGCGCTTAGGTTCTGTCGAGTCACAGACCCAGGAATCGTTGTGAGAAGAAATTGGTGACGCGAAGCGTCGTGGGGGCGTCCTTGGACGTCTGGGGTCTCCTGGGGCCTCTTGAGGGGCCTCCTGGGGCCTCCTGGCGGCCTCTTGGGGCGGAAGGCTCGACTTGCGGTTCGTGGTCCCCCTCTGGGCCCCCTCTTGGGCCCGTCTTGGGGCCCTCTTGGGCCATCTTGGGCGCCTCTTGGGCCGTCTTGGGGCCCTCTTGGGCTGTCCTGGGGCCCTCTTGGAAGCTTCTTGGGCCGTCTTGGGGCGGTCTTGGGCGCCTCTTGGGCCGTCCTGTAACGTCGGAAAGCCCAAAAGACAACTTTGTTTAAATGTACGTTTTACGAAGGGAATGGGCCAATTTTTGCGTCTAGGGGCCCTCTTGGGACGCATGTTGGAGGCTTCTTGGGGCCTCTTGGGGGCGTCCTTGGACGTCTGGGGTCTCCTGGGGCCTCTTGAGGGGCCTCCTGGGGGCCTCCTGGCGGCCTCTTGGGGCGGAAGGCTCGAGCTTGCGGTTCGTGGTCCCCCTCTGGGCCCCCTCTTGGGCCCGTCTTGGGGCCCTCTTGGGCCATCTTGGGCGCCTCTTGGGCCGTCTTGGGGCCCTCTTGGGCTGTCCTGGGGCCCTCTTGGAAGCTTCTTGGGCCGTCTTGGGGCGGTCTTGGGCGCCTCTTGGGCCGTCCTGTAACGTCGGAAAGCCCAAAAGGCAACTTTGTTGAAAATGTACGTTTTACGAAGGGAATGGGCCAATTTTTGCGTCTAGGGGCCCTCTTGGGACGCATGTTGGAGGCTTCTTGGGGCTCTTGGGGGCGTCCTTGGACGTCTGGGGTCTCCTGGGGCCTCTTGAGGGGCCTCCTGGGGGCCTCCTGGCGGCCTCTTGGGGCGGAAGGCTCGAGCTTGCGGTTCGTGGTCCCCCTCTGGGCCCCCTCTTGGGCCCGTCTTGGGGCCCTCTTGGGCCATCTTGGGCGCCTCTTGGGCCGTCTTGGGGCCCTCTTGGGCTGTCCTGGGGCCCTCTTGGAAGCTTCTTGGGCCGTCTTGGGGCGGTCTTGGGCGCCTCTTGGGCCGTCCTGTAACGTCGGAAAGCCCAAAAGACGACTTTGTTGAAAATGTACGTTTTACGAAGGGAATGGGCCAATTTTTGCGTCTAGGGGCCCTCTTGGGACGCATGTTGGAGGCTTCTTGGGGCCTCTTGGGGGCGTCCTTGGACGTCTGGAGGCCATCTTCAGCATCTCGGAGCCCTCTTGGAGGCCTCTTGGAAGTTTCTTGGGCCGTCTTGGGCGCTCCTGGGGCCGTCTTGTCTGACCGGGGAGGCCTCCGGCAAGCCCCGACGAGCCTCCGGGCCCCCCGGGGCGCACATTTGTGGTCGAGGTCCCGGCCCCGGGCCCCCGGACCCGGTGCGCCGTTATATGTATATGCTTGGGTGCTGCTGATGAGATACCACAAGGGGGGGGCAAGATCGGCTACACGCAAGAGTGACCTTTGGTGCGCGTCTGTGGGGGGTCGCGGGGATCTAGTTCCGAGCGCGCAAGCCAGTGCTCGCGAGTTCACTCTGGCGAAGGGTCACTCCTACGAGCAGCCGACAAGAGCGCATCGCGGTCCCCAGCAGCCGGCGGCGGCGAGCGAGACGCAGCGTGTGCGCGCCTGGGCCCAAGCATGGCGACCCGGGCCACCCAACTTCGCGCACCGCGCTCCACGAGGCGCGACGCGCGGCCGCCGTCGCGCCCTCGCGCTTCCCCCCTGGAGAAGGGCGCCTCTCCGGCCTTACTCCAGCCGGAGCCGCGGACCGGAGCGCGGCCGTCTTTGAAGGGGAACTGGGACACACAAATAAATAGACACAAATCACCAGATTCCCCATATTTTTCCATATGTTCGGGGTTTTTGTCTTCCCCCCCACTTCCCATATTTTCCAATATTTTCTGGGGAATCGACGATTCATTGTGTCTGTGTGTTTTTTCCCTCCTGAGTCTTCGCGCCCCCTCGGGTGACCCGGGTGGCCGGTGGGCTCCGCGGCTGCCGCGGGGCGCCGCTGCGGGAGGCTCGCCGCCGCAGTACCTTGCGCCGCCGCCCCTGGAGAGGGGCACTCGCTCTGGCCCAGGCTGGCCATCGCTCGGACGTCCATTCCCTGTGCTGTTTTCGGTTTCGCGCGTGGTTTTTTCGCCAAATGATCAAGGATGCTCCTCGATGGTCCTCAGGCCGCGACGCGCGAGGCGAGGCGGTCTGCACGCCCCTGCCCCGGTGCCTGGGCCCGAGCGGCGGCCCGGGCCTGCGCAGCCGCGGCTCTCAAGCATCCGGAGGCGTGCCAGGTGCGTCGGCTGCGGCTGCGGCAGGGGGCAGGTCGAGCCGTAGCGTGGAAGCGAGTGGACGACGGTGGCCAGGGCCTGGGCCACTTGTGACGAATGCGCCCGTCTTCGCTCAACCAGCACCGTGGTGCTGGACACGGTGGATATGATGTCAGAGTTCGGAAGGTCAGAGTCGGTGTCGTTCATAGCGTGATCGTAGCCGTCGTCGGATGTCTGGATCTGCGCGTTGTGCATGTCGGTCGATGGCGAACCGTCGGCGGCCAGCCCGGGGGGAAGTGATAGGGGGCGGGCCTGCCCAGAAGGCTCGGAAGTCACCCGGCCTTCTGAGAAGTTCCCTGAGCCTTCCCCGAAGGCACAGAAAACTTCTCAGAAGGCAGGAGGGCTTCTGAGAAGCCCCGCCGCCTTCTGAGAGGGCCTTCTGCTTCGCGCTTCTCCCCCTCGCTTGCCGTCGAGAATAGATTTCGAAAGTTCTTACTCGGTCGTACCGCACTGTGCCGCTCACGAATCTCAACTGCGAAGTATGAGCGCGCGCTGCGCTGGCCAGCGCAAAGGCGCTGCGATGGCTCGGAACATGGTGGCATGGATGTGCCAAGCGTATCTGATCCTGATGGCGCCTTCGTTGAGAGCTTGCTGGCCTCCGATGAGGATGGCCACCGCTTAGAAACGCTCACGCGTACTCTTGCAACAGCGCTTGCGCTCGGCAGGCGAGGCATCGCTTGGTGGTGGCTCGCTGCACGCGGGATATGCACCAGTGACACCGAGACGCCCGTGCGTGATTGCATCAGTTGCGAGGGGGACTTATCAACGACCACCGCCTGGGAACCGCCGTCCTGGCAACCCATGGGGGGGGGGATGTATTGGAGCCCTGGGGGCCCGAATATATCCATATCGATCCCCAAAAATCGATCCCCCAAGATCGATCCCCCAAGCGGAACGGCGGCTATGGACAAATCCCCGCCTCGGATGGAGTGCGCCGTTTCGGAGGCGGCCGCGGACGCTTCGCGCGTGGAGTTGGGAGACCGTGGGAAGGTCGGCCGCCCCAGTGCGGCGCCGAGGTCTCGAGCGCCAGATCCGGGCAGCCCCTGGGGCCGTCGGTGGAGCTCCTTATGGGTGTGGAGCCGCCATTTTTCCAATGGGTGTGGAGCTCCTAAGGGGTGTGGAGCTCCTCGGGTGTGGAAATACAAGGACATGAGCTCCACCGACGCCCCTAGGACAGGCCAAGTGGACTGCCGATACTGTAAAAAGGAAGTGGCGAAAAGGGGCGTGGCAACGCTCGTCGGCGGCTCTTCGGGAGTCTTTTCGGTGGCCGCCCTGGCCAGCTTGAGGGCGCACTGTACCAGCGCACGGCGGTGTCTTGAGCCAAAACGGCTACGGAGGGGAGGAGGAGGCAGGAGGGAACAGGTGATATGATGGGATAGGCAGGAAAAGGGAAGACGGGAGAGGGAAGACAGAGGACGAAGGAGGAGGGGCTCCTCCAGACGTGGCTCCACTATAAAATGCCGCATCTCCACGTCGAAGTCGACCCACTCCTGGCACGGGCAGTCTTGAGCTCTCTCACTCTCTCTCTCTCTCTCTTTCTCTCCGTCTCTCTCTCTCTCTCTATTTCTCTCGCTCTCTCTCTCTCTCTCTATCCGCACATCCTTTGCTGCCTCACGCTGTAACGCAGCGCATGAAATCCACACACGAATTGAATGCCGCCTGTCTCCTGCAATGGCTCACACTATTTCCTGCACCCACCCACCCACCCTGAATGTGATCAGAGATGTAGCACACGCGCGCGAGAGAGAGAAGAGGGGGAGGAGGAGGAGGAGGAGGAGGAGGAGGAGGAGGAGGAGCACGAGCAGGAGGAGGAGCAGGATGAGGACCACGACGACCAGCAGGAAGAGGAGGAAGGACGACGGGGCGTCGTGACGAAGGGCGGAGCACCAGCGCGAGAGGTTGACGATTTGAGCACTAGGATTCGGGGCCCCAAAAGCCGTGTGGTGACGTACCGCGTGGTGACATCGGAAATCCCAACGACCTCGGCGCGCGGTCCGTCACCGCACAGTCTTGGGGCCCCAGGAGGCTCCAGTCGCTCGAGACATCCTCGGAGGACGACGCAAACCCAAAAACCACGTGGCGACCCCGAATCACCACGCGGTGTGGTCACCGCACCGCATCGGGGCCCCGACGCCTGGTGGTTTCGGGTGAGAACTCGGGTCTCCGGCGAACATTCGGGACGATCTGGGCATCCTCGGAAAACTCTCGGCGAGGCGCAGCTGCTAGGTGCATCCCGAGGATGAAAACCGCCGCGCGCCACCGCCCCCTCTCCTTCCCCTCCTCCACCATCCTTTTCTCCTTCTACTTCCTCCTCCTCCTCCTCCTCCTCCTGCTGATCCTCCTCTTCCTCCTCCTCCTCCTCCTCCTCCTCCTCCTCCTCCTCTTCCTCCTCCTCCTCATCCTCTTTGCTGTTTTTTATATTCCTCCTTTTCCTCCTCCTACTCCCCCTGCTCCTACGCTTCCTCCTCCTCCACCCCTTCCTCCTCCTCGTCTTCCTCCTCTTCCATCTCCTCCTCCTCCTCCTCGTCTTCCTCCTCATCGTTCTCCACCACCTCCTCCTCCTCCTCCTCCTCATCCTCCTCCTCTTCCATCTCCTCCTCCTCCTCCTCCGATATCCTCCTCCACACCTTCTCCT